CTCAAACTTACTATGATCCTCCTGCCTCAACCTCCCAAGTACTGGGATTATAGGCATGTGCTACTATACCTGGCCAGAAAGATTGTTATTAAATTCTGAGTATGGAACATAATTTTTAAATCAATAAAAGCATCTTTATTTTTTTTTTTTTTTTTTTCTGGGACAGGGTCTCACTTTGTAGTCCAGGCTGGCCTCGAGTTTATGGTGGTGCTCCTGCCTTGCTTGGTTTAAATCAATAAAAACATTATTAGCTTGTCAGGTACCCTCTCTAGTTAACTTAATTATATCACTCACCATGGAAACTAAAGCAGTCTGTGTGTGTGTGTGTGTGTGTGTGTGTGTGTGTGTAGAATAATTTTTTAATATTTAATTTCTGGGGCCAGGCAGCTAGATCAGTGGCACAGCACCTGCCTAGCAGCGCAAGGTCCTAAGTTGGATTTCTGGTTTACTTTTTTTTTTGGTACCGGGAATAGAACTCAGGACCTCATGCTTGCCAGGCAGGCACTATGCCACTGAGCTATATCCCCAGCCCCTAAGTTCACTTTCTGATACAAAAAAAAAAATTTAATTTTTGACCTTGGGGTCATGATTGTTTCATTTGTGATAAAAAGAAATAAAATCTCCATGGATAGCCTGTCCCTTGTTACTTACCATTACATCAAATGGTGTGTATTAAACTGTATTTTATAATGACCTAGCGTGTAATGTGCTTGACTTATTGAATCAGTAACATTTTTTAGCATCTTTTACATGTGGAGGAAAAAGTTGCTTGTAAATTATATACCATGTAGTTTGTTTGTTTGCTTTTTGAGTTAGGGTCTTGCAGTGTAAGTGCAGTTTGACCTTGAATTCACTGTGTTGCCCAGGCTGGCCTTAAACTTGGCAATGATCCTCCTTCCTTAGCCTCCCAAACGCTGGGATTGCAGGTGTGTGCCAACAGGCCCAGTTATACCACACAGCTTTTATAAAATATAGAAAATTACAGAGCATGTTTACATCAGTCTAGCTAATGTCAGTTTTTTTCCCCCTTCCCTTGAGATTTTTGTTTGTTTTCATTTTTGGTGTAGTACACAGGGTTAAATCTAGGGCTGTACCACTGAGCTGGTATGTATCCCTAGCTTCCATTTTTGTCCTACTTATCTCTATTTAAAAATATTTTTTTCATTATTGCATCTAGTGTTTGTGTGTCTTTTAGTACTGGGGATTGTGCTCAGGGCCTTTGTACTGAGCTGCATTCCCAATCGTTTAAAAAAATTTTTATATGCTGGGCGTGGTGGTGTACGCCTGTAATCCCTGCACGTGGGAGGCTAAGGCAGGATTGCCCTGAGTTCATGGCCAGGCTGAACTGTATAGCAAGACCCTGTCTCAAAATAAATAAAAAATAATTTTAAAAAATATTTAAGACAAGGTATTGCTAAGTGTCTAAATTGTTCAGGCTAGCTCGAACTGTGATCCTCCTGCCTCAGTCTCCCAGAGTGCTAGGATTACAGGTGGGCATCACTACAACTGGTTCCTGCATGTAGTTTTTCTTAATATTTTATCCATATGCACATGTACACATTTATGTGCATGTGTATATGGGAACCTAATGCAGAAAGACAACAGGAGCATTTGTGTACTAATAGTACTTTTTTTTTTCTTGGTTTTTCTCCGGTACCAGGAACTGAACTCATGACGCTTGCCAGGCAGGCGCTTTGCCGCTGAGCTAAATCCCCAGCCCCACTTATAGTACTTTAAAAATAGACGATTGAAGATTTCCTATTTGCCCATCCCGGATTACCTCATCACTTTTTTCCTTTAATTTAATTTTTTTTTTGGGGGGGTGGGGGAGGCTATTTTGAGACAGGGTCTCACCATGCAGTTCAGGCTGGCCTTGAGCTCACTTTGTAGCCCATGCTGGTCTCAACTCACAATGATCCTCCTGCCTCCACCTCCTGAATGCTGGAATTACAGGGGATTATAGGCATTGCCGGCGTGCGCCACCACGCCTGGCAAGTGTTCTATATCTAATTTAAAACTGCTTTCAGCCATGCACAGTCATGCTGCCTGTAATTCAGCTACTTGGGAGGCTGACAAGAGACTTGCAAAGTCAGTCCCAGCCTGAGTAATTTAGGAAGACTTTCAAAGGAATGAATGAAGGAGTGCATGAATGGGATGTAGTTCAGTGCCAGAGCCTTCAGATTAATCACTAGCACTACGAAAGCAATGCTCTTAAACTGCTTCTGGATTTTTTTTTGTTTTTTTTTTTTTCAGATTTTAGTATTCTCCCCCTTTTGTTTCTTGTTTTGTTGGTTTTTTGAGGCAGAGTCTGGCAATGTAGCTCAGGCTGCCCTTGAGCTCACTGTGTAGCCCACTTTGGCCTCAAACTTGAGTGTGGGGATTACAAGCTTGAACTACTGCGCCTGGCTCTCCCTTTTTTAAAACTTACTATATGTTTGCAATACGTAATAAATATATTCATGGGGAAGTGGTATGTGTAGATACATAGCCAGTTTTTTGGCCTTTTTTTTTTTTTTTTTTTCTTGAGACAGGGTCTAGCTATGTAGTACAGGCTGCTTTGAACTCACTATGTAGCCCAAACTGGTGATCCTCCTACCTCAGCTTCCTGAGTTCTGGGATCACAGGTGTGTGGCACCACAGCTGGCTGTATATCCAATCTTGATTGATCATTGTTACTTCCCCTCTTTTTCCCCTTTCCATTTCTTCCATCCCCAGATACTTTTGTCTTTTTGAGACAAAGTTTTGCTTTGTAGTCCAACCTGGTCTGGAACCCATGATCCTCCTGTGTTAGCTTCCCCATTGCTGGGGTTCCAGCCTTGGAATCACCCTGCCTGGCTGCTTCTGCATTTTTTTTTAAGAATTCAAATATTGCTTTATTCTCTCAGTTGGCTATTGGCATGACTGATAGGATTCGTGCTTTGCTGGATTACTGTGTTATATGTAGATGCAGATCTCAAGTTTATTTTTGTTTTTAATGCTTTGATAATATTTAGCTAGATGATCAAAGCATCTGGTAAGCTGGGAGGCTGAGGCAGGAGGATCATTGCGAGTTTGAGGCCAGCCTGGGCTACAAAGTGAGCTCAAGGCCAGCCTGAATTGTATAACGAGACCCTGTCTTAAAACAAAACCAAAAACAAAAACCCATCTGGTCATTTTGGACAGGTAATAAAGCAAACTAAAAGACAATAAAAGCTTTTGCATTTGGAGATAGTTTTATTTATTTATTTATTTTTGGCTCTTATTGTCTACCACTGTACTTTCATTCATGGTACTGAGGATTGAACCCAGGGCCTTGTGCATGGAGCACTACCAGTGAGCTACATCCCCAAGTACATGAACTGTTAGACCAGTTTTTCTCTCTCTTATGACTTGGTTCTAACTAAAACTTAGTAAAGTTGCCAAACCTGTTTATTTCCTAGGACAAATAGTTAAGTTTTCTGACCTTTTTCTTTTTTTATTGAGTTTTATTGGCACATTTTAGTATATGTGCTGCTGCAGCACTATTGCTACATTTTAGGTATACATAACATTCACATTCATCATAGGGAATTTGCACCTGTATGTGGTATAACTTGATTGCCCCCACCCCACTACTCTCCCTTCAACCCCTCTTCCTCTCATTTTAAAAGTTTTACTGCCATTTTTCCTTCTCTCATTTTTTTCTTTTCTCTTACTGTCTTTACCCTTACCCTTCCGTAGTCTACTTCCCTTCCCATTTGAACGTTTTCTTCTTATTTCATGATCTCTATTATACATTTTGGTGACCTATCTTCTGAATGCTCCTTAGTGTATTAATTTGTAGAAAAGTACAACCTGTTAGAAATTGAGTTGAACTTTACTGTATTAAAAATATATTGCTAGCTAGGCATGAGGTATACACCTGTAATCCAAGCACTCTGGGAGGCTGAGGCAGGAGGATTGCAACTTTGAGCCTAGCATGGACAACTTAACCACTTAGCGAGACACTGTCTCAAAATAAAAAGAAGAAAGGGCTGGAAGTGTAGCGCAGTGTGAATGTCCTGGGTTTAATCCCTAGTGCTGCATTCCCCCCTACCCCGCCCCAGTCACATTTTTGATTTTTCTAGTATTCTATTAATGAAATATTTGGTCTATCAGTTTGTTGTGAATTCAGCTATTCATAGTTTCTTCTTCTTGATGTGGATATGGAAGGTCAGTTTGAATCTACGTATTAAATGTAGTTGATTTCTTGCTAGGAATTTGAGTTTCAGAAGTTTGGCTTTTGTTAGGAGTGAAGACTGCACTATCTTACTGAAATCAGTATAATAATTATTTTCCTGAACATATTGAATGAAATAGTTGTTGAAACAATTTCATGTATTTTTCTTTAGAGCTCAGTTCCCCAAAACCTATAAAAGCGGGAATACTCAAGACAAAGAAATCCAACAAGGTATGTCTTTTCAGGAAATATTCTTAACTCTACTGATTTTGAAAATTGGCATTAGGGACTCTTCTTAGATTATTATTTTAGTTTGAAGTTAATAGTGTAGAGCAGTGATGGCGAACCTTTGGGAGTTTTCAGTGATGATAAACAGTCCCCAGCTGCTGCATGTGCGCCACAGGTCACCACCACTGTGTTAGAGGATTGTAGCCTTTCTCCATGTATCCCCGGATGCTTCTGTCATGTGTATCCTTGTCATGTAGTACTGCTCAGTTTGATCATGAGACTAAAGCATTTTTATTTCATTGTTCTGTTTGGAGAAACTTTTGAGTTAATTTGGCAAATATCTTCATATAACTGAATATAGATAGGTGATTCTTTTAAAATTGCTATCACTGCCGGGCGTGGTGGCGCACACCTGTAATCCCAGCACTCGGGAGGCTGAGGCAGGAGGATCTTTGCGAGTTCAAGACCATCCTGTGCTGGAAAGTGAGCTCAAGGCCACCCTGAACTGCATAGCGAGACCCTGTCTCAAAAAGCAAAAAAAAAAAAAAAAATTGTTATCACTTTTAGCAAATATTTTTTGTTTAAAAGTTCAAAGCAGAATTTGCAGACATAACATTTATTATTTTTTTTAGGCCAATGATTTCAGCGATATGGCTCTTTGGCCAACACCAGGTGAATTAGTGAACACTGGAGTAAGTATTATTTTAAGGCCTTTAGAAATAATTGAGTCACATATTCTCATTTCAACATGCAGAATGTGTTTTACTTAAAATCTGAGTCAGGCATGGTGGTACATGGCTGTAATCCCAGCACTTTGAGAGGCTGAAGCAGGAAGATCACAAATTTGAGCCCATCTTGGGCAATTTAGCAACATGAGCAAGACCTTGTCTCAAATAAAAAAAAGATTGGGGATGAAGCGCCATGAGAAAGTCCTGGATTCAGTTCCCAGTGCTGCAAGAACAAACAAATCAATCTAAAGCTTTTAACTGTGAAGGCCATATGTACAGACTTGATCCATTGGTAAGAGTGCTGTTTTGTTAAATTTATAGTCATTTTTTTTGTTTGTTTGTTTTTCAGGGTCTTGCTTTATAGTTCAGGCTGCCCCTGAACTCACTATATAACCCAGGCTGGCCTCGAACTCATAGCGCTCCTCCTGCCTCAGCCTCCCAAGTGCTGGGATTATAGGCATGTGCTACCATGTCTAGCTTGTAGTCATTTGATGTGGCCAGTAGTATTGGTAATGAACTTGGTGACTGAAGCAGGGAGAGGGAGAAGTTGGCCTTGAATAGGTTGGCCTCAAACTCGCAGTGATCCTCCTGCCTTGGCCTCCTCAATGTTGAGATAACAGTTTGTGTACCATCATGCCTGACAGAATGTAGTTTTATATTTCATAAATTGTCATTTGTTTAACAATATTTAGGTAAGGTATATTACTGCAGATTTTTGTGGGGTATGCTAGTGAAAATGTTGATGAAAAATGGTTCTGTTCAGAAAACTTTTCTGCAGTTTCAGGGTGGCCTAAGCCAAGGAAATAAGAAGCCCCAAATTAGAAAAGAAAAAGAAGAGAAGGTTGAAAAGAGAAGTAACAGTGAGAGCAAAGAAAACCGGGAAACCAAATTAAATGGTCCTGGTGAAAATATGAGTGAGGATGAGGCTCAATCAAGTAATCACCGCAAGAGAGGTCAGTTATCTGTATCTCCTTTCAATGTTCAATGTTTGAAGAAAGTCATAGTAATCAAGCATTTTCTGTAGTCTTCATCAGTGTGTGTTTTGCATTGCTTCAGGATAAACCATCTGCCTTAGTTACTTATTTGTTAACTGTAACATTTCTGGACCAGTAGGCTTGCTTTTCTTTTTTTTCTCCACTCCTATTCTGCTGTATGCAAGAATCTGGGATGAACTTCCAGGTATAGCATGGGACTAGATACATTCATAGAAAGTTGTGATTACTATTCTTTTAAGTCTGCCTTGGCGCTGCTCCCTGTTTTTTATGGTGTTCTGAGAAAATGAAATTTTTTAAGATGCTTTTTTTTTTAAGAGAAAATAGAGGACAATTTCAGTCATCTTTTCCCTTCAGCATTTCCCTGTAAAAATACTCTTTGAAGGAAAAAAAAGATTGTTTTCACATCCTTTTCCGTTTTCTTTTCTGAACTTTTCATGTGTCTCGGGACAAATAATTTACCTGCTTTGTACAAGCATTTACTCTTTCAGTGTTTTGAGCCCAGATAACGTGGCAGGAGATAAGTTGAGAGGCATAGGCATAGTCCATAGTCTGTATGGTCTGGTAACTTGGAATTAATAAATTTATTTATTAAAGCACTGGGGATTAAACCCAAGGCCTCACACATACCAGGCAAGTGGGTGCTCTACCAGTGAGTATTTTGAGTATCATGGAAGCCATTGAAACATTTATTCCACAGTAAATACAACATGGAAATATACAGTATGTAAATACACAGTAAACACAACATGTAAATACACAGCAAATATAACATGTAAATATACAGTATGTAAATACACAGCAAATGCAACAGGTAAATACACAGTGAATATAACGTGCAAATATACAGTATGTATGCACAGTATATAAACACACTGAAAATACAACATGGGAGGAAACGTTGAACGTCGTAGTAGATACCTGACAACTTCTTTTTTTTTTTTTTTTTTTTTTTGGTTTTTCTCTGGTACCAGGAACCGAACTCACGACCTTGCGCTTGCCAGGCAGGTGCTTTGCCGCTGAGCTAAATCCCTAGCCCTACCTGACAACTTCTTAATCCTGGAATTAATAGGCTATCATATACTGAGTGCTTAGCTGAAAAATTTACCTTTTTCATGAATATCTTATTTGCTGCAGTATATACATTAGGCTCCCTTGATACGAGCAAGGGATAACTGCTGAAAAGTAGGTAAAACAGGGCAACCAAGTACTGTTAGAGAAATGTCTCACTTCTTATCTACTTTATCACTTTTTTCCTGATTCCTAGAATATAAGTAGTCTTGGCTGTCTAGAATTCAGACCTGACAGCCTAAAATTTGTCCTACTTCTTAGTTGCTATGGAAAATTGATTGGTTAACACTAACATGTGGTATTTTGAAGAATGTTCATAAAATCAAGCCCTGAATTGATTTCCTAGAGAATGTATTTCTTTTTTTTTTTTTTTTTTTTTTTTTAAGGCAGGGCGTCACTTTGTAGTTCAGGCTGATCTTGAACTCACTCTGTAGCCCAGGCTGTCCTTGAACTTGCAGTGATCCTCCTACTTCAGCCTCCTCTGTGCTGGGGTTATAGATGTGTGCCACCACACCCAGCAAGAATACATTTCTTATACAGAAAGCAGGGCTTGCTTATGCCTGGGAATGTTGTTGATAGAATTTATGAAAGGTTTTAAAGATTTTTTTCTTGTTATATGTCCATCTGTTCTATAGGTTTATGGGATTTATAGGAAATCAGTACTTAATTGCACTTTTCCTTTTCCCTTACTTTGTAGTTTTTCCTTTGCCTTGACCTTTTTATTTTAGTAGAAAATGTCAATTGGGCAGATCATTGAATAAGAAGCTGTCATTTTGGAATTTATGAAAATGTAATCTTCAGAATTATACTCTAATCAAAAAAAAAAAAAAAAAAAAAAAAAAAAAAGAATTATACTCTAATGTAACCTAATAGTTATGTCATCAGTCATCAAGAGCCAGGCATGGTAGCGCATGCCTGTAATCCCAGCACTTGGGAGGCTGAGACAGGAGGATTGTTGAGAGTTCAAAACCAGCCTAAGCTACAAAGTGAGCTCAAATCCAACCTGAACTGCAAAGGGAGACCATGTCTCAAAAAGACAGAAAACAAACAACAATAACAAAAAATCAGTCATCAAGAAAAATTAATTCGATTGAATCTCTTTTCTTGAGTTAGGAAGATGTGTGATAACTTTATAAACATTTTTCTGTCAAATTAGATTTTTATACTTACCCCACTTACACTTTGGGAAACTTCATTTGTTAGTATCCAAGATAAACGAATATTTTAGACTGTGATCTGAAACTAAAAGTGTTTTGAAACCCCAAACCTAACTCCCTAAGCATAATAATGCCTTTTCATATGTGTCATTATATTTATTTATTTATTTTGTCTTTTTTAAGACAGAGTCTTGCTGTGCAGTACAGGCTGGCTTTGAGCTCATTTTGTAGCCCAGGCTGGTCTTGAACTCACAACAATCCTCCTGCCTCAGCCTCCTAAGTCCTGGGTTTACAGGCGTGCGCCACCATGCCCAGCTCATATGTGTCATTCTAAAGCCTAAGATTTAAATTAGTAGGTGGGAGTAGTATGTATATATACTTTAAAAAACCTATCCATCAAAATTAAACAAAATAGTTACCATTTCACTTAAAATAATTCCAATGGTATTCTACCATTGGCTTTTCACTTGGTGTTCAGACATTTTAGTTTATCAAATATCTATGTGAGAAGGGGAAAGTTTTTTTTTGGTGGTCTACAAATAATCCTTGTAAGCTATTTAATTAAAATTCAGCATTACAGCTTTAATGAAAATTGTACATTGCTGTTAATGATTTTATCTTGTTTTCTTTAAGCTAATAAGCACAAGTGGGTACCACTCCACTTAGATGATCTTAGGCCAGACAGTCAAGAAAGACCTGGATCCCGGAATAACTCAAGATGTCAAGCTGAAGCAAATAAGTCAGCACATAATAATAGGCGAAATGATACACGAAGTAAGTTGCATTCTAAGAGAAATATGACTAAAACACTTTGTTTTAGGGCCTATTATATTAGTAACTATATAAAGTATAAACCATTTAAGAATAAATTGCAGATAATTTGTCTGTTTAAATCCCTTTAGACTATACTTTGTAAGAACAATATAACTATAACATAGTTTTTTAATTTTTCCTTTTGTGGTACTAGAAACCGAACCTAGGGCCTTATGCATGCTAGGCAAGCTGAACCACTGAGCTCTCTCTCCAGCCCTTTTCAATTTTTATTTGGATAAAGGTCTTGCTAAGTTGCCCTTGCTGGTCTTGAACTTGTGGTCCTGCTCTAAGGCTCCAGGGTAGATGGGATTATAGGTATGTACTACTACTGATGGATACCGTAGCAGAGTTCACAACACTGAAGGTTAGCATTCATTCACACAGTGTGACTGACTATTCATAGGTAGATTTTCTCTGTATTTCTTAAACCGCATCTCCAGCCCCGGGATATCACATTGCTTTCAGTTTTGTTTTCTCTTTGAACTTTATTATCATCTGTTTCCTAGGTTTGTCTTTCATGATTTTTTTACTTTTAAGAGTATAGGGCAGTTTGCTGTAGATACTCTTCACTTTGCTTTTTGATGCTTCCTTATGATTGGGTTTGGACTACAAAGTGTTGACAGATACAGTTTTCCTGTTAGTGCACATCACATGAGAATGCATGTGATACTGGTTTAAACCCTTAGTTGAGTTGGTCAGTGTCTTAGTTTGGGGTTTTTGCAAAGGAGAATAATGTAATACAGGGCACATATTTTATAAGATTAGTTATAATAGTCATCCAAAGAATCATATGCAAGAGAGTGCAGGAAATATGTCCACATACTAAGAACCAAAGTATCCAGCTGAGGGCCTGGATCCCACGATAATGTCCTGCATGAGTGCAGCTGAAGACCTAGAGCCCACAAAAATTCCTTCCGCAAATCCATCTGGAGGCCCAGAGCCCAAGACAATGTCTCATGCAGGCCTGTTTCATGGCTCTGTGCTGGCAAGGCCCAAAGGTCAGTGGTGGAAGCCAGAAAGTCTGTGCCAGCAGGATGAAAGATTGGTAGCAGGCTGAGGGATCTACACTGGAACTGGGCAGTGATGCTCAAAATAAGAACAAGAGCGCCCCTGAAAAGTACCACAGCCATCCTCAGCAATAGTGAGGTCACGAGCTCCTCTGATGATAAAGCCGTGTTCCCATCAGGAAAGCCAATGCAACAAGCTCCAGGAGACTGGGCAGTGCACCATCTTCCCCTCCGGATCCAGGAAGCGATACTCAAAGTGGGGACCAGAGCTTCCCCAAAGTGAACTGAAGCTATTCTCAGTGCCAGCAAAGTCCGAGCTCCTTGGAGGAAGAAAACAGCTGAGTTCGTCAGGAGAGTCAGCATGACAAGCTCCTCCCAGAGAATCAGCAGCTCCTTAACATCTTAACAGCTCCCAAAAGCCTTCCTCAGTTTCCAGCAGCCTAACTTCTTCTCCAGTTCTGCCTCTTACACTGCTGGCAACAATCCTCAGGTGGGCCTCCCAGTCCCAGCACCATGCTTCCTCAGTTCAGCTGGGTGTTGTAAGTTGACCACCACTTGTCAATCCACCACAGTCAGGTACTTCAGATTTTTGATTCTAAAGATGCTCTTTCCTCTTTTGTAATTAGTACATACTTGGTGAGACTGTGCAAATGATTGTTTCCTCTTTAGATTTTTTACACAAGCTTTAATAACTTTCAATGATGATTCTTGCCAGTTTGAGTTATTACTATGATAGTTGCACATGCTAGTTTTTCTTATTGTATGATAATTGCACATGCTGATTTTTCGTATTGTTCTTCTGAATTTAGAAGTTCGCATTCTACTAAAAGGAATAACTTCCCATTATCAATGTGGATTCATAGCTGCTTTATTTAATAGGTTCTAATTTAATATTTGGTGGTTTCATTTTATTTTTAAGCTTCCAGATTTGGCTATGAAAGCCTCTTCTGTGCTGTTTCTAAATTTTCAATTTTTATTTTATTTTGTGTTTGCATTTGCTGTAGTGGTGGAAATGAAACCCAGGACTTGTAGACAGGTACTCTACCACTGAGCTATACTGCAACCTTGGATCATTTTTTCAACAAACAGCTCTCCTGAGTACAGGGCTACACACTTGTAATTCCAGCTACTCTGGAGGCAAGAGGATCATAAGTTTCAGGCTAGCCTGGGCAAAAACCTTGTCTAAAAAGTGGTTTGGGGTATAGCTCAACCTTGTTAGCATGTGCAAGGTCCTGAGTTCAATTCCTGGTAGTGATAGATAGATCTCAACCAGTACCAACCACTTGTCTGTTTTCTGTCATCACAGGATGCTTTTCTAGAACTTTATGTCAATGGAGCTGTGCATATGCTTTATGTCTTGTATTTCCTTGTGCTCAGCACTTTTTTATTTTTATTTTTTAAGTTTGTTGATACAGTTTAGGTATACATAATGATCATGTACATTATAGGGAGTTTGTATCTACATTTGATACATCTTTGTTTTGTTTTGTTTTTTTTGTTTTGTTTTGTTTTTCTCCGGTACCGGGAACCGAACCACGACCTTGCACTTGCCAGGCAGGCGCTTTGCCGCTGAGCTAAATCCCCAGCCCCTTACATTTGATACATCTTGATTCCTCTTTTTTTCCCCATTTCCATCCTGTCCTTTCAAATCCTCTTCCCCTCCCCATTCACAAAGCTGTTTTCATTTTATCCTTTTCCCATTTTTTCTTTCCCTTTTTTCCTTTCCCCCTCCCTAGTTTGCTTTTCCTTTTTAACAGTTTCTTTCTATTTCACAATATCTATTGTATATTTTTGTTCGTATTTACATTTTCAGTTTGTTATACCCAAGAGATAATGTTATATTTACACATGTATATGTTTTCACTTACTATGATTTCACTTATGAAATGGATGGTCTCAAGGACCATCCATTTAGCTATAAATGTCTCAATTTTATCTTTCTTTATGACTGAATAATACTCTGTTTTATTAAACAGCCACATTTTTTTGTCCATTCATTTGTTGATGGGCTTTTGGGTTGCTTCCAAGATATAACTGTTACGAATTGTGCCGCTATAAACATGGATGCACATATATCGCTGTGGTACTATGCTTTTATTGAGACAGGGTCTTGCTGTGTAGTCCAGGCTGGCCTTGAATTCATGGTGAACCTCCTGCCTCAGCTTCCTGAGTGGTAGGATTACAAGGTGTGCGCCCCCACACTCGACTTCTCAGTATTGTTTTTTAGATTCATCTATATCGTTCCATATAGAGTTACTTCTTTATTGGCAAATAGTATTCTTTTGAATGGGTAAGTCCCTTACCTGTTTATTTGTTGATGAATAATTGACTTGTTTCTACTTTTGGGTTCTACAATGTATGATTAACTATGAGCATATGCTTTTTTGGGGGGTGGTACTGGGGATCAGACGTGGGGTCTTGCAAATGCTCTACCACCAAGCTACTTTGTCTAAATACCAGTGAACAGATTGATTGCTACATCCTATGATGTGTTAGCTTCCTGTCACTAATAATTACCTGACATAATTGACTTACGAAGTAAAGGGAAGTTTATTTTTGTATTTTTTTTCTGTACCGGGAATCCAATTCAGGACCTTGTGCTTGCCAGGCAGGTGCTTGTGTGTGCTGAGCTATATGCCCGGCAAGAGAAGTTTGTATTCTCATAGTCATGGAAGTTCCAGTCTGAGATCAGTGTCCCCATTGGTTTAGGCCTGTGATGAGTGCAGCACATCATTGTGTGAGCAAGTGTCAGAGTGCTTGGTCACATGTGGAGCCGGGAAACAGTCCAGACAGGGTCCCGCGTCCTTTCCTGTAATGTGCTTCAGCGACCAGCTAAGGATCCCGCCATCTCCCACTAGTGCTGCTCTGAGGACACTCAGCATCCAGATTATACTTTTTGAGCAGGGTGTGGTGGCACTACCTACCACCCAGGGCTCTGGGAGGCTGAGGCAGGAAAATAGTAAATTTGAGCCCGTCCTGGGCAATTTAGAGGCTTGGTGAGATGCCAACTCAAGTAAGAAACTGAAGAAGAGTAGGGAATTTACAGAGGCCCTGGGTTCAATCTCCAACACCATAAACACAAATAAAAGTTCTAAAAATTCTACACCCGAGTGTGGTGGTGTGCACCTGTCATCCCAGCTACCTCTGACCCTGAGGTGGGGGCTCACTTGAGCCAGTGAGTTTTCAAGACTAGCTTGGACAGCATTGCAAGGCCCCAACTCAGAACAAAACAAAAAACCCAAAACACCAAAAACTTACTTTATAGGTATATTATTTCAACAGGGTGAAACAATCTATTCCTTAGATATCTGAAAGCAGAGGAGGACAAGAGGATATATATGAAATAGAATGATCATTTGGTTTTACAGATTTTTGCTAAAATCTTGCAAGTCTGTTAAGGTACATATTCTGTGAATGGATCAGAAGGCATAGGAGTTTTTTTACAAACATAATATTTAAAAATTTCCAGTTACAAGAAACTTCATCTAAATTTTTTGAGAAAGCCTTGCCTGTGCACTTTAGGCTCGCCTTGAACTCACGGTGTAGCCCAGGCTAGCCTCTGACTCAAGGCAGTCCTCTTGCCTTGAGGACTGAGTGTTGCAGTGATTATAGGTGTGCACCACCACACTCGGCCTGGAAAACTTTAAATGTGGGAAGAATGATATAATGGCTATCTGTCTAGCCTTTACTTAGATTCAGTGATTTTGCTGTATTCGTTCCTGTGGTGAATCATTTGCAAGTAACTTGGAGGTGTCACACTTTATCAGTGATATCCTAAAAAATGGTATCACTTAAGAAAGTCACTAATGTCCTTGTCACTAATAATCTTGTCACTAGATTTTCTTGTTATTTATAAAATGTCACTTTAAAATTATAAAACTTCTCTATAGAAAAAAATAAAGGCCCCTTTGCCTTTTTTTAAATATATCATGTGAAGGTTTTATTCTAAAAATACTGGATACTTATAATTTAAATTTTTTAAAAATTGAATTAAAACACTGAGACTATCAGGAAATGTACTTGTGAAGTTATAAAGAATAATAGTAACAAACACTGGAAACTTAGCATTTTAAGGAACACGTTAGCTGGGCCATGGTGGTGCATGCCTATGTTGCCAGAACTCGAGAGGGTGAGGCAGGATTGCCGCAAGTTGAAGGTCATTTTGGCTACGTAATGAGCTCAAGGCCAGTCTAAACTATAGAGTGAGAATTATCTCAGAAAAGAAAAAGAAAAAGAAACCCAGGGGAACATAGGTTAAACTTCCCTGTGTGTCCTGTGCAGTATCATCCCATTGCCTCCCTTCTGAGAAAAAGTAAGCTTGAATGTTTTTGTTTTTTGCATGTTTTGAAATTGTAGCATGATTCCGTTAATACATTCCTTGGCAGCAGTTTTTTTTTTTTTTTTCAAATAGCCTTAATTTTAAGATTCGTGCATGTTGGTGGTCTTGCTCTAATTCATTCTTTTTTTCCCTTCTGCTAAAAGATATTTCACTATTTGATGAAATCAGCTTACTGTTGGTGGGCATTTGAACTGTTTGTATTTTGAAAGTACCACCATGAATATTCTATACATATGTAATAACACACAAGTACAAGAGGCTCTCTGATAATTTTTTCAGGATGTAGACTGCAACCTGAGTGAGAAGTAGGAAATCCATATATGCGATTGTGATGTGGTTTTTTTTGTTTGTTTGTTTTGTTTTTGGTCTTTTTGTGACGGGGACTCACTATGTAGTTCAGGCTGGCCTTAAACTTGCAGTGATCCTTCTGCTTCAGTCTCCCAAGTGCTGGGGTCTTTTTTTTTTTTTGTCTTGTTGAGACAGAGTCTCACTGTGCCTCTCAGACTGATCCTGAACTCACTTTGTAGCCCAGGCTGGCCTCAAACTCAAGGGAATTTTCCTGTCTCGGCCAAGTGCTGGGATTACAGGTGTGCACCAACACATCCGGAATGATCTGGTTTTTAAAAATATTGATAATTTCACATAGTAAATATTTTTTCACAGCACTTATATTTTAATTATATTAAAAAATTTTGTAAGTTGATTGGGATATGATACAGGCTTATGCCACTTGCAGCAGAAATGCTTGAAAAAGACTTTTTTTTTGGTTTTTCTCCGGTGCCGGGAACTGAACTCACGACCTTGCGCTTGCCAGGCAGGCGCTTTGCCGCTGAGCTAAATCCCCAGCCCCGAAAAAGACTTTTAAGAGAAGCATTAAGGATGGAATATAGAGTGTAAGGCAGTGGTTCTCAAGGGGGGAGATTTTTGTCCCCACCAAGGGGCATTTGGTGATGGCTGGAGATACTCTTTGTCATAGCTGGGGGTTGAATGAGCCCTACTGGCATCCAGTGGGTAGAGCTAGATTTGTTTGCCCTACTAATGTTTAGTCATTTCCTCTTTTCTCTGTGTGGGGATTGTATTTGTATAAAAGAGTAATATCAGTTACTGTGTGTACTATATTGTAGATATAACTCCTATATTGTGTTTCATGTATCTTTTCTCACTTTTTGCAGTGTTTTTCTTAAAATGGAATGTATTTTACTTCAATAGAAACATCTTTAAACATTTATGAAATATTTTGTGTTGTTTTGAGACAGGGTCTTGATATGTAGCTGAGGCTGTCCTTAAACTCACTATATGCTGGGCATGGTGGCACACGCCTGTAATCCTAGCACTTGAGAGGCTGAGGCAGAAGGATCATTGCAAGTGCGAGACCAGCCTGGGCTACAAAGTGAGCTCAAGGCCAACCTGAACAGCTTAGTAAGACCCTGTCTGAACAAAAAACAAAAACTCACTATATAGGCCATGTTGGCCTTCAACTTGCAGCATTAGACTCCCAAGTGCTGTGACTACAGGTGTGTACCACACACCTATCTTTAAAAGTATTTCTTATGAGTTTGATCTTGTCTTTTATTTTTTTGGTGGTCTTGGGAATTAAACCCAGGGCTTTTGCACTCAGTTGCTCAGCCTCGGCCTGAACTTCCAATCCTCCTGTCTTTTTTTTTTTTTTTGGTTTTTCTCCGGTACCGGGAACTGCCAATCCTCCTGTCTTAACCTCCCAGGACACTGGGTTTAAATATGTGTGCCACCATATCTAGCTTAGGAATTTTGTGTCATATACACTTAGTAGGTTTAGAACTTGGTATTTAAGTGTACTATGAATATTTAACTGAACAGTCTTTGCAAAGGGCCTATTAAATCTTTCTAGTACATTTTATTAAAATATATTGTTATATGCCAATACATGATTTCTCTATAACAGATAATTTTTTTTTAAAGAAAAGGTCTGTTTTGGCTCATAGTTTCAGAGGTTTCAGCCTGTGGTGGGCAGGTGGAAATACAGCAGCAGGGCATAAAGGAGCAAAGCTGCTCACTTGGTGGCAGGAAGCAGAGAGACATGGAAAGTGCCAGAAATATTTTTTAAACCCTGTATCTGAAGATAGCCTGCCTACTTTCACTAGTTCTAAAGTTGGAAGGGAGTTACTATGTTTTCATAAAGATAATTATGTCATTTTATTGCAAATTTGATATATTAAAATATTTTTATTTTACAAAGGTTGGAGGCGAGAAAGAGAAAAAAGAGATGATCAAGATGAAGTGTCCAGTGTGAGAAGTGAGGGTGGTACTATCCGAGGTTCCTTTAGAGGCCGAGGAAGAGGCCGAGGATGGGGAAGAGGACGAGGCAGAGGAAATCCTCGATGTATGACATAATTTTTTGTTTTATTCAATTAGGTGAACTTTGAAAAAAATGAGCAAACTATCTGTTAGGTTTTCACGTTATCCTCTAATGTGTTTTATCTACTTTCTTTGGTCTGGTAATAAAGATGACTTTATTTTTATAAACCCTTGAAATACTTCACTTTGCATTTTCCTTTATTTAAAATCTGTGATCATCCTTTTTTTTATTCACATTAAGTGAACTATGAGTATACATACGGTCATGGAGAACATGATGAAAGGACTGATCAGCCATTTCAAACAGAACTTAACAGTGCGATGTATTACTATGATGATGGCACAGGCTTGCAGGTGTATCATGTGGAGGAAGCATTGCTTAAAGAATATATTAAACGTCAAATGTAAGTTGATGTCAGATGTAATTATATGGGAAAGTAAAATTTGTTGCAACGTCAAACTTCTTATGTGAATAGTTACCATGAAAGTGAACATAGCATTTTAAAACTATTAGTAAAAGTTGGAGAATGTTGTGGCTGGGGATTTAGCTCAGCGGCAAAGTGCCTGCCTGGCAAGCACAAGGTCATGAGTTCGATTCGTGGTACTGGAAGAAAAAACAAAACAAAACAAAAGTTAGAGAATGTTAATACTGATTGTATTTTTCTAGGAAATACTAGTAAAATAATAAAGTATTTTTAAAATGACTATATTTGGCTGGATGTGGTGGCACATATGTATAATCTCAGCTACTTGGGAAGCTGAGACAGGAGACTTATGGGTTCAAGGTCAGCCTTATGAGACCCTGTGTCAGATATATAAAAGAGCTGGGAATGTAGCTCAATGGAGAGGACTTGCTTAACATGAGTGAGGCCTTGGGTTCAGTCTCCAGCACTGAAACAAAAAACCCTAGAAAACTATATAGGTAGGTATAGTTGGTTCATGTTCACATAGTGTCTGCAATACCATTTAGGTATTCCTTCTCTTAAGGACATTATTAGTGAAAATGTCATTACATAATAGGAAGATGTAAAAGAATATAAAACTTCTAGATAGTATTTGAAATGGAACAAGTGAAACACTGGCTTGTTTGCTAATGTAGATCCATTTGCATCTAGATGTACTAAATTCTAAAGTAGATATACTGAAATTTTGCAAATGAACGTGACAAAAATAGTGGCAGGTAGCTTTTGATTTTGTTTCAGTTAGCTTTTGAATTTGAGTTTGTTTATATCATGTTCTTTTTTTTTTGTGGTTTATATTAAAGAAAACTACTTAATCTTTTAGTTCAGAATCCTTGTGCCGCATAGTTACTTTCTGGATACTAATGGGAGGCTGAGATAGGAGTTCAAGGCCAGCCTGGGCAACATAAGTGAGTATAAGCCCAGCCTGCACTAAATAGCAAGAACCTGTCTCAAAAAACAAAACAGAAAAATAAAAGAGGAATATTAGTCTTTAAGAAAAAACATTCTCTGCAAATTAGTATTCTATGGAGCATTTTGTATATTTCTATGTAAATATGGAAATGTGTGTATGTAGCCTTGAGAAGAATCCTCCCCAAGTGATTTGCTTAACCACCTTATAAGTGGAATTTTTTTTCTACCTTTCCAAGCTGAATGGGAAGGGCTACTTTGGAAAGAGCATAACATTTTTTAAAATCTATTTAAGAAAGAAAATGAGCTCTGCTTTGATTAGAAAGTAATTTCTTCACTGGGCACCTGTCGGGGTGCCTTTATGTGGATTTGATTGGCTTACAGTGTGAAACACTTGTTCATTTTGTGTTTGCTGCTTTTGTTACAGGTGATGCATACACTGAAGAAAGGGCCTTTTTGTGGGCAGAAAGTGCCTGGCCCGTGACTATTAATTTCCTACCATTCCTGTCTTTTTTGTAACTGTTGCTGCCAGGTTTCTTCTAAGACCTGACTGCAGACATGCAACAGTGTCAGGATAATTGGCCTCCCTGTGCTCATACAAGTGAGGGAGGAGCAGAGCTACTTCATTCCTGACAGCACTTCTGATCATACAGTGTAGAATCCAGAGCTCCTACGGTAGGACATGGCAATGTCCCCTACAACACTGAGCAAAACGTCAGACAGGACATTGGTGTCACGACTCCTTTTTTGTTGTTGTTTCAGCAGTAGTGTTTTTGGCAAATGTTGGAGGTGCCAGTAGGTTTAGGGAGGCTTGTTGTTGTTAGCATGCTTCGATTGCTAGAGACCTAGATTTGAAGAGTCATGCTTTTGACTTTGTCGTTGAGCTTTCTAATATAGTACATAGGTGGGCTGACAGATTAGGGTTAGATTTTTCCTTTCTCTTTGAAGTCACTTAGTTTTCCATTTGTGACAAAATGATGCTAATTGTTTTTTAGAGGTAATTGTTGAAAATCTTCTGGAAATAATTCTCAGTGCAATTGTTTTATACATTTCATTCAGAATATTTATAAAGATTTTGATTGTTTTCTAGTTGGGACAATCTCTTGGCATCAAATTTAGAGTTTAGAATGTTTGCATCTTATTAAAAGTTTTTAAAAATATGTATTGTAGGAAATAGACTTAAAATATATATTTAGAAGTTTTGGTTTTCACAAACTATTACATTTAAAGTGTAGCTCTTTTTTTTTTTTTGTATTGGAAATCAAACTCATGACCTTGGGCTTGCCAGGTAGGCGCTGTTCCGCTGAGCTATAGCCCTGGCCCCAAAGGTAGCGTTTTTATGTATGTTTGTTTGTGGTGCTGAGGATGGAACCCAGGGACATTCTATAACTGAGCTACTAGCCCTTCTCTTTTTTGTTTAAATTTGAAGAGGGGCTCTCAAACTTGCAATCCACCTGCCTTATACTCCCAGAGTACTGGGATTACAGCCATGTGCCTGACTGGGAAGGTTATTATTGATTCAGAGAAATTTGTGTCTAAGAATAGTTGTGACTAAAACAAATGTCTGTCTTAATGTCTGAAATTTTAGGGTTTCACTATATTATGTGCCTACTTAGGTACTGTGAATGATTTACTCGTATTACTGAGATGTCAATAGTATTTTGCTGATCTTTTTGAGAGCTTGCACAAGGTCTCGCTAAGTTGCCCAGGCTGGACTTGAACTTGTGGTCCGTATGCTTCAGCTTTCCAGAGGTGTATGTTGCCATCCTGTTGAAAGTTTTGTATTTTGAGATTCAGCTAAATATCATTTTATAAAGAAAATATGTTTATTTACATTTTCTGGATGAAGTGATTTTTTTTTTCCATTCTCTAGTCAAAGGTCCTAAGTGCCTAGAGTTAGAATTTGTCTTAAACAGTCCAGAGATAATCTGTTCACTGAATTGTACACCAGAAATACAAACTGGTATATTCTCATAGGTTGCCACCATTCTTTGAAAATTTTCTCTGTGATTTAGAAACAGTGTATGCTGATTATAAAATGCTGATTAAACTGTAGACCATATCATCAAATCCTTTTTTCTTTGGTGTTTCTGAGACAGTGTCTCACTGTGTAGTACAGGGTGGCCTACGTAGCCCAGGCTGGCATTAGACACATGGCAATCCTTCTGCCTCAGCCTCTGAGTGCTGGGATTACAGACATGCATCACCACACCCAGCTATTTAGTGTTTAAATTAATCATGTAGAGGTAGTTAGGGAAGCTGAGACGAGGATTATGAATGTGAGGCTAGTCTGGGCTACATAGTGAGACCTTGTCTCAAAAAAAAATTAACTACTACTATTTTAAAGTAAAATAAGCTCTTAATTCTCTATTTACGTGAAGCTGGTTGAAATAATGGTTAATGTTTTTGGAAAATAATCAGTATTTGATGTTTGTACTCAGATAAAAGTAATTAGTAATTCAGTAGGGTTTTTTTTGCTATTTTATGTTGTATTAAACTGTTATATTTATGCTTAACATACTGTGATATTAACCAAATTAAAATATTTTTATAGCAGTTGATATGTAAGCAATATATATATTATATCCTATTGAATAAATGGATGATATTTATATTTACTTTCTTATTTCTCTTCTCAGTGAATATTACTTTAGTATAGAAAATTTGGAACGAGACTTCTTTCTTCGGAGAAAGATGGATGAACAAGGTTTCTTGCCTATTTCTCTGATTGCTGGTTTTCACCGTGTTCGGGCTCTTACCACAAACCTTAATCTCATCTTAGAGGTAATTATTTATTTAAAAAACAATCTGTTTTTCACCCAGTTTTTCTGTGAACCTGACACTAGGGTGAAACAGCTACAGTCTCAACTACTTAAAAGGCTGAATTGGGAGGATCACTGAGCCCATGAGGTTGAGATCAACTTGGACAAAATAGTGAGAATCCTGCCCCCAAAATTAAAAATCCTATCTGTATTTGCTTAACACTCAGACAGCATCTCATGACTTTTTTGGTGGGGATATTTATTTTGAGACAGGGTTTCACTATGTAGTTCAGGTTGGCCTTGAACTCATGATTATCCTGCCTTAGCCTCCTGAGTGCTAGGATTATATGCCACCATGCCTGGCTCATCTCATGCCTTTTCTTCACTTGATAAAATGTAATGTGTCACTTTGGAAAGCCTACAAAGAATTACTAATGATGTTGCCACCTATTTTAAGTTCAAACCTTCAAACATGTTTTGTGTTGTTATGTCTGGGATTGGGTATCAATACTCAGCAGGTAACCTGGGCTGGCTTTGAACTTGAGATCCTCTTGCCTTAGCCTCCTGAGTGCTGGGATCGTAGGCCTTCCATCACTATGCCCAGCAGGCTTTGACCTTCTTTAGTGTTCTTTGTCCTTTAATCTTCAGGTTGCTATAAAATTGCATATATTTCTATTTATTTAACTTTTCATATGCTACAGAAAATCTAGTTTAAAACGGGCATTCTGGGCTGGGGATATAGCTCAGTGGTGCAGTGCCTGTCTGGCAGGCACAAGGTCCTGAGTTCTGATTGCCTGTACCAAAGCAAAAAACAAAAAAGACATTCTAGTTCTCTTACTGCCTTTAATTAAGCCTCTTATCTGTCCAGTTTCTAGAAATGCTTTTAACATTTTGGTTTTTCCTTTCTTTTCTACATGCATGGCAATCAGATCACCTCATGAGGCCTGTACACAGTACCTGTTAGCCACTAATCTCCTTTTTGTCCCTATTGTTTCTCTTTTTTCAGAATAAAATTATATATAAATTTTAGAGTTTGTAGCCATTGTTTCTGATTTCTGTCCATTTTAAAATTGATCTATGTTGTTTCGTGTATCACTAGTTTATGCTTTCATGTTGCTGACAAGTATCTTGTAGTATGGCTGTGCCACAGTTTATCCATTCACTTGTTAGTGAACATTTAGATTGTCTCTAGACTTTGAGTAAAGCCTGAAGCTTTTTGTGTGGGTGTGTGTTTATTTGTTGGTAGCCATCCTGGGCTACGTACATAGTGAGTCAAGGCCAGTGTGTGAATTACTTAGCAAGACTCTGTCTCAAAACACACACACACACACACACACACACACACACACAGTGTAGTTATTTTAAAAGCACATAAAAAACTTTATAATCCAAAATAAAGAACTTTTTGGGGGTATAAGGGATTAAACCCACGGACATTGCACTAAGCTAAATAACTGTTTTAAAAAGAATTTTTTTGGGAGTACAGGTTCTTGCTAAGTCACTAAATTGTGCAGGTTGGGCTCAAACCGTACAAGCCTCTTGCCTCAGCCTCCAGTAGTACTAGTATTCCCAGCTATGTGCCACTGTACCTGGCTCAAAATAAAGACCTCTTAGAAATAGTTCTTAAAACATTTCAGTAAAAATTATTTAAACAAAATCACTGATTCGAGCAGAATTTTTGAACTACTACCACTGTTGAATTTGATCTGCTCTACATTATATAGCAAATGCTATTAGCAGTCTTGCCACATTTATTTTGAAAAATTTAAACCCATGGGAAACTTTCAAGGAGTTGTTTTTTTTTAATTGTTGTTGGTTTTTGTTTTTAGTTTCAGGTATGGGTAACATGTAAAATACAATAATTTTAGGTGTTCAGTGTAAGTTTTGGAAAGTCAAATCCAACTGCCACCCCAAATAAGATATAGATTATATCCTGTGATGACCTGGATCCTGGGTATACTGTTTGTTACTGGGCTTCCAGATTCTTCAGTGAACATAGTGAGGAAAATACACAGGTAACACTGTTCAAGTCCACTGCTATAGGATTTTTTTCCATTTTCATGACATACTTCAGACTTCCTTTTCAGTGGAGTTTGCATTTAAATAAATTTTAATCCTTATTTTAAAATAATGAAAAGTACATAAGTGCTGTACTAGTATTAAGGAATACAAATGACAGGTTCTTAAAGTAATGCATGAACAGAATGTTATATATTTTTGTGAGTTAACATACACATAGGATATATATTGTTACCTTCGTTCAGGAATTTTTTTTTTTTTGGTATCAGGAATCGAACTCAGGACCTTCTGCTTGCCAGGCAGGTGCTGTGCCACTGAGCTATCTCCCCAACCCCTTAATTCTCTCCATGATTCTGGCTGCAGACTGAACTGGGCAAGAAGAAAATCAAATTTTCCCATAAGGTCAACAAACTTTTTTTGAGGCAGCATCTGGCTGTGTCACTCAGGCTGGCCTCTAACTGACTATGTAGCCCAGGCTGTCCTCAGACTCACGATAATTCTCCTGTCTCAGCCTGTTAAGTGCTGGGATTATAGGCATGAACCACCACGCTGGCTGTATGTTGTTTTTAAAAATTTTGTATTATTTTCTAAATGTAAGCATCCCTGATTTTCAGTTAGATGTTAAATCAGTAAGCCTTTAATTGTTTAAAGCTTAAAGTCATGCCAGGTGTGGTGTTGTATGCCTATAATTTCACCATTGTGGGAGGCTGAGGAAGGAGGAGCACAAGTTTAAACCTACCCTGGGCAGATTAGTGATTTAGCAAGACCCTATTTCAAGGAAAAAAAACAAAACAAAACCAAAAAAGGTAATGTAGATTAGTGTGATGCTCCAGGACTCAAATCCCAGTACTATAAGAAGAAAAGTTAATCTTGAATTTTTTCAAAAAGAAATTTGCTTTAGTTTTATAATACATTTTTAGGAGACTCTATAGCCTAATGGCTAAGGCTTTTAGTTGTAGACAGGTAATGAATGATTTATCTCAGAGGAGGCCTGTGCTTTTTTTAAAATTGAACTTATTTAAGCATCAGTTTCCTCATCTATACAATAGGGGTAATGCCTACTATGTGAGGTATTGGAATCATGTATGCATATTATTACTTACCATTCAATAAGTAGTGGTAGTTATTACAGTAATAAAATAATGCCTACATTTTATTTGGTGATACTATTTTAAGAGAAGACAAAAGCAAGTATGAGGAAAAAATAGACAATAAAGCTTAATTGTGATAGCAAAAATCATTTTTTCCTGTTTGATTTAATAATTCTTGAATTAATTGTGAAAAAACCTCATGCTATGGGATGACCCCATGATAGTTGTTACTTTACAAGAGTGATTTTAAAACTTGTTCTGCTCTGAATAGTTTATGGATTTTTTTAGAGCTATTAACTGCAATGTAGTCTGCTGACTTCAGATTTTGTGGGTTTTAGTTACTAGAAATGTAAGATCTGCAATGAAAATTTTTGGAGTAAAAGTTCTTTAATAGCTCATAATTCCTGTTTCCAGGCACTGAAGGATAGCACAGAAGTTGAAATTGTGGATGAGAAAATGAGAAAAAGGGTAGAACCAGAAAAATGGCCAATCCCAGGCCCTCCTTCACGAACTCTGCCACAAACAGATTTCTCCCAACTGGTTGATTGTCCAGAGTTCGTGCCAGGCCAAGCCTTTTGCTCACATACAGGTAACAGCTTTTCTTCTACAGCAAACAATGTAACAGTGAGCTATTTGATCCATTTCGCCTCTTTTTAGTCTATTTATCCTTTGTAGGACATTTAAAGTGACTAAATGATTTCTGCTGCTCTAAATTTTATTTATATTGCCTTCCATGCAGAGCTGTAATTTAAATGGGGATCTATGAATTATTGGTGACACTCTTACATTTCTTGCTCTTAAATTATATGTGTACTTTGTCATGTATGGAATTTCTGCCTTTTAATTTTACTCAGTGATTATAAATACATTGTGCCAGTTTTTCCCTTCTAAGATTGGAGTAGTCTAAGAGTTTTATACTCGAGTGGGATAACTTTCCTATAACTTTGTTACCAAGGTGCTACAAGCTTGTCTTGTAAAGATATGATGACCCATACTTTAAAGGAGAATTGGGGTTCTCTTTAATCTGATTGTGTTTAGAATTTTCCAGAATTGCTTTAGTGTTAAGAACTTTTTCCTGGATCATTTTAAAGATGTTCCCTCTTGGGAAAAAAATATGTGCTTAAACTTTTTTCAGTCAGGGTGATGATCTACTGATGCTCTTGGATGTCATTTGATCGGAATATGCAGTGGAATAGGTGACTCACTGAAATGCCATTGTAAATATTGGAGCAAATCGTGCTGTGGAAACAGAAGCAACCAGACTGCATCCTGTGCAACACTGTCTACTCCCAACCCTCTGTGGAGGAGGCTGGGCCAGTGCTACAGTGGAGATAACCACCTTGCGATGATGCTGTGAGACAGACCAGAGGACTGCTGTTACCATAGGAGCTGCCCATTTCTGTGTAATTGGCCTGGGCTGCATGGGCTACTTTACTTCATGGTGGGAAAGTTAATTATTATCATTGTGGACATACTGGAAGATGCTTTTGTTTACAGGCATATGTACTTGTGTCCAGATCAATAAAGCAGGAAAAGGGAATTGAGAAATGTTTCCCAGATGGTTAGGTCTTTTGCTATTTGATTTGCTGTTCAGTGTAGTGTATGTTACATAGTTGTCATGTTTCACTTGGTGTATAAGATTTGTCAATGTGGACAGCTAAGGGCAAGAAAATTTAAGAAATGAACAAGAAAATTTTTTTACTTTACTATTGGAAATGTAGTTTTGATACATCAGTGAGAGACCTGCCCATCGATAAAACATTAATGGACAGTCTCACAAATATTTTTATCTCATATTATCATCTCATATTTTTTGTCAGCTCTCTGCTTCTAATCCCAGAAAGAAACTTGAACAAGTGTTTTAAAAGTTGAAGAAAAGTGATATTGTTTCAGTTTAGTTTTTAACTTTTTAAAGAGATATAATGGGTTATTGTATAAATTAGAATTATTTATTGTGTAAAAGTGGGGTCCAACATGACATTTTTAATCAGCATATGAACAATCATTGGTAAGCTGGATAATATAGTAAATATTTTTTCCACAGGATAGTTGTCAGTCAAGTTGGTGATGCCTGTCCATTACCTTTTTATGTATTAATAAAGTTACAATAAAATTATGGTTTGTACATTTTGTATTTTTTTACCATAAATGCATACAAGTACTATTATATGCACAAACAAGTCAGTGCCTATTAAAATATCAGGATTTTATAGTTCTCTATTTTTGCGGAGGGGCAGGTACTTGGAATTGAACTCAGGACCTTGTGCTTGCTAGCTAGGCAGGTGCTTATGCCACTGAACTATGTTCCTGGCCCAGTTCTATATATTGTACATCAGAATCTAATAATAGAGATAAAGATGGAAATACTTTTTAGAATTATGCCAGTTCATATTGTCATAGGAATAAATATGTAAAGCACCTTTTCCCAGGAATCTCTAAATTTCTGACCTTCATAATCCCCTGTACTAAGAAAGCCTAACACAAGTAGAATGTCAGCAAAAATTTGAAGTGGAAATAATTTAGAAAGTGTAGACTGTATCTACAGGTAGAGAAAAGTAGTAATACTTTTATCTATATCTGCTGATCTCAAATTAGATGACTTAAAAAACTTTTTTAAGCCTATGATTATATGGTAAAATATTTTTAAACATACTTGAATATTCATCAGAGAAATTAAAGTTGCTATTTTTTTCCTCTGGAGGTTGAATTGTATAACATGAGGTGACATTAGCACTGAGCAGATTACCTTCCTATACCACAAAAGCTTAATAAAAAGAATGGTTGAATTCCTTTTGAAATGCAGACTCTTTTGTGCTGTGGGTACAGTATCGCACAGTCCATTCTTAAATAAAAGAATTTCATCAGAATTGAAAAGCCAAAAAAACCAAGTATCTGACAATCTTGATTTTGGGGGAAAGACTTTTTAAAAAATGTGTGAGAAGATCTAATGAATATTAAATAAGCTGTGAGATTTTCCTTTGAAAGCTTCATATGTAGAAATGTTCTTAAATGTTACATATCAAATATATAATCCTTTTGAAAAAACGTTTGTAATTAACCAAAGCTGTAGTCCTTCCAAGGTGGAAAACAAAGCAATACTAGATAATACAAATTCATGGTACATTATCTTTGGGGAGCCAAGTTGACAATTTTCATTTACTAAAACCAGTAAAGATAAATTTGTATGTTCTCACAGGTTAATGCCTAAGTGTTGAAGGATGTGGAAGGTTTTTAAAATCTATGAACGTTTAATGTCAGATAATCTAAATCATATTTAAACTCATTTAGACTTGGAAGATTAGGAGTTTGCTATTCTTAAACTTTTCAAATTCGCTGGGGGCTGGTGATACACACTTACAATCCCAGCACATGGAAGGCTGAGGTAGGAGGATCACCACAAGCTCAAGGACAGCCTGAACTCTACATAGTGTGATCTTGTCTCACAAAACCAGAAACAGCCATTACGAATGTACAGCTTGAAATAGTTTTTCTTTTTCTTTTCTTAAGGCAGGGTTGCACTGTGTAATTTAGGCTGGCCTCAAATTCTCGGTGATCTACCTCAGCCTCCCAAGTGCTGGGATGTGCCGCCACACCCAACTTTGAAATCTTTGCATTATAAAAGAGAATACAGATGCAAAAATCCTAGGGCATATATATAGCATTATTTTAATTTTTAAAAATTTTTCTTAGTATATGTTAGCAGTACCTAATTACATTCATCATAGGGAGCTGGTACATGTCCATAACACATCCTAATTCTTTTTACATCCTGTTCACTTGTGTATAGCTTAATTTTCATTAAATATTTTTTCTCATTATAAGGCTCTTAACTTTTCTTCTTTATCCAAATTCTTTGGTATTTTAATATTATATTTCTAAGCACATGTAAATATAATCAAACACTTTCATGGTAGAAGTTTAAAGAAATTTAGCTATTATTATATAATAAACTGAGGATGTTAAAAGATTAAATTTCTACCTTAAAGACAGTAGCTTTTGATTTTCTTGGCATGTGCCAGGTACTGTTCTTATTTATGCATGTACTATATGTTAATAATTGAATTCTCCCAATGTGTATATAAGGAACTGAATCAGTACATGTAATGGGGTAGGGATTGTTTGCTTTTAAGGTTTTATTCACTATGGGTATAAATAACTCACAGTTTTAGGACATTTCTCCATTACTAAAGCTTTGTGTGAAACAGTCTCCACCTTGTATTTTACTTATACTACTTTTGTGAATGAGTTGGTGGTAGATGTACAATTAATTTAAGGAGTTGTAGCTATATGGTAATGCACACCTATAAACAAGCCTGGGGAATTTAAACCCTGTATCGAAATAAAATGAAAAGCTCTGGCTGTAGCTCAGAGGCAGTATACTTGTCATGCATACACAAGGGCCCAGATTCTATCACCAGCACTGGAAAAGGGAGGGAGGTGGAATAGCAGCCTCCAATAGAAATATGTAAACACATCGTTCAAAATTCTAAAATAATTCTTCAGTAGATATTTCTAGTGCTGAAAATGGAATCTAGGAACAAGGCTTGGTAGGTAAGCATTACCATTGAGCTATAACCCTCAGAGCCCTCTAAATATTTTAGAAACCTGGCATGGTGTCATTCACCTCAGCACTTGGCTGAGTCAGGAGAATCACTGGGAGTTCAAAGGCTACATCGTTCAAAGTCTGTCTGGACTCCATAGTTGAGACCCTATGACCCAACAAAAGCTTTTAGGATGAAAATATAATGTAAAATTCACTTTAAGAAATGCATTTATAAAGCAATTTTAATTTTACTTATGGGTGTGTAATTCATTCGATTAAAAACTGGCAAAAATGCAGCCAGGTATGCTGGCAAACACATGTGATCCTAGCACTCAGGAAGATCACTGAATTCAAGGCTATCCTGGGCTGTGTAGTGAGTTTCAAGTCAGCCTGAACTACATAATGAGACCCTGTCTCAAAAAAACCAAAACCACCCCCGCCCACACACAACCCCCCCCCCCAACTGGTAAAAGAATGTTGAAAGGAAAGACCTTTTAACTTAAAACAGTTTTTGGTTGGTTCTGTGTATTGATCTTAGGGCCTTTGCACTGAGCCATAGTCCTAGCTCATTTTTCTTTATTTTGAGAACAGTCTTGCTTAAATTGCCCAGGGTGGGCTCAAATTTTTTGTCCTCCTAACTCAGCCTTGTGCATGCTAGGGATTACAAACATATGCCACATCAGGCCTGCCCTTCCACCCTCCCTTCTGGGAGTTGAACCCAGAACCTTCCTATCAACCTACCCCCTCACCCCTTTTTGTACTTCGATTTTGAGATGAGATGTTGCTAAGTGCAAGCTTGGCTCAGACTTATGATTCTCCCGCCTCAGTCTTTGAGAGTGCTGGGATTACAGGCATGTTCTGTCGTGCCTCATCTACAGTTTTGCTTTTAGAATTTCTAAACTTTTATCAGTCAAACTGTGTACTTTAATATGATGACATTTTTGTGCTTTGCAGTGTTCAGTATGAGGTGATAAATGAGGAGGCTCTTTAGTGTGTACAGGCAAACTTTTTTAAGCAAAGAAGATGTTGGTTTACACAAAGATGGTGGTTTTAGTTTAACCTCTAATCAGTCAGTGAGGATCAGTTTTATCTGAAGTAAAATATGTATTTAGACTAATTGGCTTAACAGCATTTGAGATTACATAATTACAATTTATAGGTCTTAATAATTTCACAAATAACTTGATTCACAAATTACCAACATTATGGTGGTTCACACTGACATTCTTAAGTTGGAGTGAGTGTGGTGGTCTATATAAAAATTAGTGATACTCCTTTTCATTATTCAGTGGCTATTCTTCTGAGTAAATATTATTAAAAGAAATTTATGTTTGAAAATCACTGGTAAGATTTTATTTGAGATTGATTTGTTATGTGTTTTGTGGAAGAAAAAAGGAATAAATGAAATACTTACCTAAGAAACCTGTTATTTTAACTGTAGAACTAATTTAAAATTTTAGAGTCTGCCCCAAATTCTCCAAGAATTGGAAGTCCTTTGATTTCAAAGAAAAATACTGAAACAAGTAGTCTTCAAGCAATGTTTAGAGGTTTATCTACCAGTTTACCTGACTTGGACTCAGAACCTTGGATAGAAGTATAAAAGAGGCATCATTTGTCTCCAGTGAAATGAAAGGTAAGTTGTTATAAACCAGGTAAAGTATGATACTCCCTTGGTGGAGTTTAAGGTCCGTGTCTTTTCTTTTTGTCAGATATGCGTCCTGGAATGACAGGAGTGGGCCACCATGCCTGGCTCAGTATGCATTTTAACGTCCTAAAGACTGTCTAAAGATGCTAAGTAATTTCTGCAGTGGCGTACTTTTGTTGAAGTGGGTTAGTTTTTGACAACATTGTCCATGTACTACTATTTTTTTTTTTTTTGAGATATAGGGTCTTGCTATATAGTTCAGGCTGGTATTAAATTCACTATGTAGCCCAGACTGGTCTCAAACTCTTGTTGATCCTCCTGCCTCAGCCTCTCCAGTGCCAGAATAACAGGTGTGTACCAATATGCCTAGTTATTGTTAGTGTACTTCTTAAAAACTTGTTTTCTCTCTTTTTCTTTTGATTTTCTTTTTTTTTTTTTTTTGGTACAGGTAATGAAACTCAGGACCTTGCGCTTGCCAGGCAGGTGCTTATGCCACTGAGATATATCCCTGGCCCTTTTTTCTCTTTTTGAGACAGGGTCTTGATATGTAGTTCAGGCTGAACTTGAACTCACTTTGTAGCCTAGGCTGGCCTCGAACTCAACAATGATCAGCCTTCCTCAGCCTCCCGAGTGCTGGGATTACGGGCCTATGCCACCATGCCCAGCTAAAAAACTATCTTTAATTTTTAGCACTGGGGATTGAATCCAGGTCTTCTTGCATGCTGAGTATGCATTCTATCTCTGAACTATATTCATAGCTCACTAAAATGATCTTCCTGAAATACTCTAGAGTGGTTATATAGAGTAGTTAGATACAATTTTCGGGGCTGGGGATTTAGCTCAGTGGCACAGCGCCTGCTTGGCAAGCGCAAGGTCGTGAGTTCAATTCCTGATACAATTTTCTGTTGAATTCTGAACACATTTTTATCTTTCACCTTGGTTAGTTTTCCTTTCATAAAATTGAGTTGCCTCACATCTTTTTACAATATTTTCTTTTGAGGATTTTAAGGTGGTTTTTTTTCCTTCCCTAGTCTTAATTTCAGGCTGATATGCCTTGCTGTACTTCTGTTCTTACTAATTGAGCCGAGTGCTCATGTCCAAGGAACTATTTTTTTCACTTTCTGGTGTTGTTATTTGTTCATCTTATTACTACTGTAGTTCTATTGTTGTGGTTTAAGATTCTACTTTGATAATTTCTTTATTTCCACCAATTTTGTTTGTTGAACTCTTTTATAGGGTGTTAGTTGTCCCTTAATATCTGGTGATTTTTTGGTTGAGTGTTAGTAAATTAGTTTCACTTGTTACTTTTACATCTGCCCATTCAGAGGCCATTTGACTGAATGTGTGTTATGGCTCATACCCTTAGCAAGCGCAAAGGTCCTATGGACTTGAACTTCTAATTTGGGGGCCAAGATAATTATTGGCTTAATGTTCTTTTGCAGTTTAGCTGCTAAACTATGGTCATTGAGCATACAAGCTTGATATAACTTAGAACACAGTCGTGTGACCAGTTTTTAAAAAGTGATAGAAAAGTTTTCATATATAATACTAATTTCTGTCTTTAGGGATCAAAACCTAAACCTGAAGTGGCATCAATCAATAGTGTCTTCCAGAAGAACAATAACAAGAAGAACTTGATTCCCTATTAATGAAGAGACAGAATAAATAGAAGGATGAAAACACACATTTGCTGATTGGTCTGAGTGAGACCAATCTGAGTGATTGAGATTATGAAATTGAGGACTGGGATTTAAACAGAATTTTGATTGTAACTCAGACAGCACCTGAGAAAACTTCCTGGCAGTTGAACAGGCAACCACATGTTTCAGGCAAAACTTACATCAGAAGTTGCTAAAGTTTTCAATGAAGGCTTATATTACTTGAGGATCTGTGGATGGATGGAAGATGAAAAACATATGCAGCCATAAAGGTAATTATATCTGGCCAGCATCTTTGTGCTGGCAGTTTGTTCAGATTATACATTACTGCTTATATTAAACTAGAGGACTTATTTTATGAAATTTTGAATATAAAGATTTAATTTGAAAAATTTCTGGAAATATATTTGATAGTCACAGTTGAATGATTTTAAGTGAAAATGTAATGAATACTTTAAAAACTTAAACAAGTATTAGTACCCATTGACTAAAACTCTTGCTTTTTTCAGGTAAAAAAGTAAGAAGACCCTTCCTTATATGAAGGAATTAAAAACTAAACTTGGGGCTGGGGATTTAGCTCAGCTGCACAGCGCCTGCGGCAAGCGTGAGGTCTTGAGGTTGATTCCCGGTACCAAAAAACAAAAAAAACAAACTAAACTTATACAGACTTAGTTTTATAGCTCAGGCTGGCCTTGAACTTGCAGTGATCCTCCTGCTGCACCTTCCCAAGTGCTGGGATTACAGTCATGTGCTACCACACTTCACTTATAGCTCATTCCTTACTTGGCCAATGCACCAGCCGTATGATTTGTTGGTTTCAGAAGGGATTTATGTTCATTCCCCCTTTGTTCTTTCCCACCGTAGTCTAAATTGCATGCTTTAACCTAGTAAAAATGATTATGGACAAAGTATAAAAGATTAAATTGGCTGTTTGTCTCTTCTGTCCAGTCATTATTAAGGTGCTTAGGATGCTATTTGAAACCATGTTCCAGTTTTGTATCATGTTTCACTCCAGATCCTGACCTCTATCCCAGTTAGTAAGGTAAAATATATGAGCAGTTTACTGATTATCTGCATTTTTTGATATGAATTATAATGGCACAGGTAGGGATAAAGAGGAATCTTTTTCCTGTCATTAAAGTTATCAGAAAAGCCCCTCCCTAAAGTTAATCATTTGCTTTTTGGATAGAATAATGAGGGAAAGTTATATAACATCATGCTGTACACTAAATAGGAACGTGGTCTTAGAAAGAGTTACAGTTATAGAAAGATAAGCTGGCCTGGTAGAGGTTGAATAGAAGACTGCCTGCCACAGCGCTTCATGTCATGAAGTAAAGAAGTGTAGTTTCCTTTTTGGCGTCTCATTTCTTCCTAGAATTTCTATGAGTGCTTTCAGTCTCTTAACTTCTCTGTTACCTTTTTGTAGAACCCGCTGTGATACCTTGTTAAGAGATTTAGAGCCTGAACAGTCATCTACCTGTCCTCCTGTTGTGGGAAGGGACTTATGTCTTGTAAACTTTAGAGTTGAAAGTGATTCCTAGCATGAACATTGTTTCTTAGTTGTGACGCTTAGGTTCTATAAATAAAATATGTCTTAAATCCTTTTTGAAACAAATGTAGTTGAATTTTACTAGTAGGTTAAAATTCTATACCCTCTATTCTCTTCCTTGATCTTACATTATGTTTTACCATAGTATAAGTTACTATCTGCCTTTCTGGATATTTTATTACTATTCTGTGTGAGCACATGAAAGTAAGATTCATGAGGCAAGGATTTTTTTGTCTATTTATTTACTGTTCTCACCAGTGTTAAAACAGCTTCTGCCACCAAATATTACTTACTTTATATATGTTAAAATAATAAATGAATTGCAGATTAAATATTTTGCACTAAGCAAAGGAAGTTAACTACCATGTGTAATATTTAATTTGTAGGGAAATGTTTTCAAGAGTCTCAAGTAACAAATATTTCTTTTTTGTTGTTGTTTTGTTTTTTGAGACAGGGCCTCACTATGTAGTTTAGGCTGGTCTTGAACTCAACTATGTTGCCCAGGTTGGCCTCACACTCGAGGTGATCCTTCTGCCTCAACCTCCTGAGTGCTGAGATTACAAGGGTGCATCACCATCCTTGGCTAACTTTCAAGTGAACTTGAAATTTATAGATGATTTGTAGGGAATTTGTAGATGATTGTAGACCATAATAGTTGGTTTTTTTTTTTTTTTTTTTTTTTTGAGACAGGGTCTCCCTATGTTGTTCAGGCTGGCCTTGAACTCACTTTGTACCCTAGGCTGGTTTTGAACTGGCAACGATGCTTCTGCCTCAGCCTCCATCTGCAGGGATTATAGGCGTATGCCACTGTGCCCGGCCTTTAGACAGTAATAGTTTAAAGCTGTATACTGTCTTATTGAGGCAGTTGCTACCTTGTCCATTATACATTAACCAGCAGAAAATAATAATTGGCCATATAACTTTTAGGTATTATGGATAAATTGTAGATGCTTCCTTTTCACCTGATTCTTGCCTATATTCCTATCATTAACTTATTATTCTTGGTTTTCCCCCCTTTTATCCCTCCCCCCTTTCAAAGGAAGCTAAGCAAATGCTCTATCACTTAGCTAAGTATCTAGCCCTAAACATGTAACTCCTGATTAGACATGTACTTTTCTTATGCATCTGTGTAAAGAGAGACTAGTAAGCCATTTAACATGTTCACTGAGTAACTGCTATATTCTAAGGACTGTGTTGGTTCTTGAATATAGAATGAAGAAAGATAATAAATAAAGTTTCTTTGTGCCTGGAACTTATAGATAATTAGGGAACAGACATTAAAAGAAACCCACAATATGTACTTTTTCTCTCTTTTTTGAGATGCAGTCTCCCTCTGGAGTTCAGGCTGGTCTTGCTTACTGTGTAGCCCAGGCTGGCCTTGAACTTGCAGCGATCCTCTTGCCTTAGCCTCCCAAGTGCAGGGGTTACAGGCGTGTGCTACCACAGCCAACATGTACTTAATTACAAATTACAATCATTTTGCTAAAATTAAAAAGCAGGGCTGGGGATTTAGCTCAGTGGTGCAGTGCCTTCCTGGCAAGCGGAAGGTTCTGAGTTTGATTCCTGGTACCCCCCCAAAGTTAAAAAAAAAATTAAAAGGCAGATGTTATTGGATTACATGGTCAGAGAATTTCCCCGAGATAGTCAAATTATGGTGAAATTTGAAGTGTGGTTTAGAAATTAGCCATGCAGAGAGTACAGAAGCACTGTTCCAAGAAGAGGAATAAGTATGTCTTAAGGATAAGAAGGGGGAGAGTTTGGCATATTTGAGAAACTGAACAGTTTGTCTAATATAAAAAGATAATTATGGATGTTTTATAAAAAGATAATTATGGATATACAGTCAGGTCATATTAGAATTGTTGGGCCATGTTAAATTGTATGGAATTTAGATAAAGTGCAGGATTTTTACATAGTGTGAATTTTTGTTTTTGAAAGATCACTGGTTGCTATTGCAGAGAATTGCTTGTATGGAAACAATAGTAGATAGAAGAGAGTTTAGGAGGAAGCTGACTGTCTTTAGAATGGATATTGGAAGTCTGGGAATATAGCTCAGTGGCATAAGTGCCTGCCTGGCAAGCACAAGGTCGTGAGTTCAACCCCTGGGACTGAAAAAAAAAAAAAAAAAAAAAAAAAGAAAAGAATGGATATTGGTAGTTCAAGGCCATCTAGTCCAGGGGACATGTAGAAGTGAGAAAATCCAGACCTGAGCCCCAATGATTGTTTATATCAAAGGTGGGTAGGGAAATATAGTATTGTAGAAGCCAAAACTAGCTCCATGAAGACAGAATAACCACATGGATCAGAAATTGAACGTGTTGGATTATAAAGGAATAAAAAATATGCCAGATTGATAGGACAGTTCTGGAGTTTTGGTGAATACAGAGGTATTTTGGACTGGGTGAAAGAGTGAATATAGCCTTTCATTTCTGGCATGCCCTTACAGCTGAAGCCAAATAATACAGTTAATACATGAGAAAACATCTATTTAAAGTCTCTAAAGAGCTGCAAGGTAAGTTGTTATTAGAGAAGTGAAGTGGAATATTAAAATCAGTTCTGGCTTAGAAACTGTTGTGGAACCTAGGGATTTGAAAGGTTTAGCTTTGCAGAAGCTACTTAAAATGGCTAAAGGATAAAAATCCAGCACTAGCCAAAGTTAGGGATTCCAATAGTTTTTTTCCCATTAAATTGGTAACTTAAAGAAATACACTGTTGGTGAAAGAGAACTAAATTTGTTTTTCCAGCATTCTGTAGGGAACTACAAAGAATATTTCCCCGGTTTGCTGAGTAGCATAGGGAGTAGAAAAACTGAACTAGCTGGGCATGGTGGTGCATGCCTATAATTCCCGTACTTTGGAGGCTGAGGCAGGAGGATCGCTATGAGTTCAAAGCCAGCCTGAACTACACAGTGAGACCTTTCCCCTAAAAAAAAAAAAAAAAAAATTGAACTATAAGTTGTAATCATGCAACCCAAATTTACACTGAAGTAACTACTAGTTGTAAACTTAAAGTGATTGTGGCCTATTAGTTTCATAGAAGCTACTAACAATAAATGTAGGTCCATTCACTTTTACCTTAGTCCACAGAAAATGTACTCAATTAGTAAGGAGAGTGGACAGCTCACAAAATTAATAATCAGAGAAATAAAGTGCCATGTGCAAGAATGAGCCAAAATAACAGCAGGAGAAAAGCAATGTGCAATTATTAAAGGAAATACACAGTGCTTATATTTTCTAGGTTCAAGTAAATGAAAGTATGTATAGACAAGAAATTCTAAAAAATGGTAGAATTTCTGGAAATAAAAACAGCCATAATTGAAATGAAAATTTAATCAATTGAAGGAGTTAATAACAAATCACAGAATATGAAGACTTAATATGAAATTGAGAAATCAGTACAGAGAAGCAGATATAATATATGAAAAGAGGGCACAGAATGATATTTTACAGTCTTTGCTTTATTGTTGGATTAGATTCAAATCAGTTGTGTAATTTTAGTATCAAGTAGATTTTATTATAAAGCCATATATTTATTTATTTTTGTACTAGGAATCGAACTCAGGACCTTGTGCTTGCCAGGCAGGCACTATGCCACTGGGCTATCTCCCTGGCCTATTTATTTTATTTTTATAATATATATATTTTTTTCTTTCTTTTTGAGACAGGGTTTCCCTCTGTAGTTCAGGCTGGACTTGAGCTCACTTCATAGCCTAAAGCCT